CATTAAAATAAGAACAGAACAGAACTTTTTATTTTTGATTTGTACATAGTACAAAATATACAAAATAATTTTCAAGTAACATGTACATTTCATTGCAATCAATATAAAGAAATCAATAATATAAAGTAATCATTAATTGTAATGAAACTAAATTGATTGTTATTAAGCCTCAGTTAACTGAAGATGAACATATTTTAAAAGAAAACTCAATACCAAAATTACATTCTATCATTGAACATTATTTAAGATTGAAGTTCTAACTCTTTAATAGTCAAAGCATTTTGTAATAAACCAGAGACATAGTGTTATCTATGTCTCTGAATAAACTAACTAAAATAAGAAAAGTCCTGTTCTAGTAAATAACAAAATTATGCAAATATGTAAATAAAATTAAAAAAAGATGAATGTGCAAACATGCATTTATTCAAATGTAAACAGATTTACACGTTAACCATTTTATATAAAGGTAAATTATGATTTTTTTCATATTTGACAGACCAGTAGGGGTACAGATTTTAAGGTGGAGAGAAATATTTAAAAAAAAATATTTAAAAAAAAGTAAGAAACTGTTAATTTCAACTTAGCATTATACATGCATGGTAAATTAGACTAGTTAGTTACATGAATGATAAACGTTAGTAAAAAGAAACGCTATAAAATAACATAGCATCTAAAACATGTCTAATGTGTTTAGGTCTGAATTGTAATTATTTTACTATATATGTTTTTAATTTAGAGATCAAAAGTAGTATACAGTTTCCATAAGACTGGTTAGTTGACTGAGTTTCTTTAACTTTATACATAATTTTCAACATATGAGTGTTAATAAACATACTTAATATATGTTTTAATGTTAATTAATACATGACTTATACACATGTAAATGTTGGTATACATGACTTAAATGTTCCAAGCATCACTTATTAATGCTAGACTTATAAATGAGCCGCGTCATGACAAAACCAACATAATGGGTTTGCGACCAGCATGGATCCAGACCAGCCTGCGCATCCGCGCAGTCTGATCAGGATCCATGCTGTTCGCTATCAGTTTCTTTACTTGTTATAGGGTCTGTAAGCGAACAGCATGGATCCTGATCAGATTGCGCGGATGCGCAGGCTGGTCTGGATCCATGCTGGTCGCAAACACATTATGTTGGTTTTTGTCGTGACGCGGCTCAAATGTTTAAGGTACGCGAGAGAATACACTAACGGTGATAATGACCTTTCTACAGCACTTGTATAGTACAAGAGATGGTCATTTCAATTTCTTTGATTCTCGATTTCAACTCCAAAAATTCACTGTTTTAACTTAAAAAATTAATTGTTTTAAAGGAACTTCACTGAGGATTTTTGATATGACAGGACTGGAATTTTTTTTCGATTTGATGTAGATCTTGACCAATAATTTGTGTGCATAATTTTATATCATTCGCTCATTCCGTTTTTCCAGATATTTCATTCTAATTGAGAAAAGTGACCAAAATTTAAAAACGTTGCAACGCTTTTTACTCAAATCAGGCTGAAAATAGCACAAAAATGCGATTTTCAATTTGTTTCTGAGTATATTTCTTAACTGGTTTTGCATATATTTCTGTTGAAAATGTCCCAGCTGATCTTTGAAAGAATTTCAAACTTTATGGTTTTATGCTTTTGGACATGAGTAGAGTTTCTTTAACATACTAAATTCGTTAATTCGCGATTTCAAGTTCTTGAATTCACCAGTTTGTACATCCATGCTGTCTGATCAGATACGATATTGTCGTCTGCTAAAATTTAACATTTGATTTAATTACCAGAATCTCTAATATCAAACAATGGATAGTTCTAAACTCAAAACAAGACGAGTCCATTATATAAAATTAGCAAGGTGACCAACATAGTGCGTTTGCGACCAGCATGGATCAAGACCAGCCTGCGCATCCGCGCAGTCTGATCAGGATCCATGCTGTTCGCTTACCAACCCTATTACAAGTAGAGAAACTGATAGATCCTGATCAGACTGCGCGGATCTGGTCTGGATCCATGCTGGTCGCAAACGCACTATGTTGGTTTTGTCATGACACGGCTCATATTATTTTCATTATTTAGCAGCATTAAGATCAGAATAGTTTATAAGTTCTGTATGAGACTACGATATTATCAGACAGAGTTCATTACCGCGCTGATACTCGTATATACATGTACTTAAAACATTCGCAAAACGGATACGTAACTACAGAAATTTGTGTAGCAGATTCTAGTACATGTACTTTACCTCTTCTATATATTTTCACAATTTATATTATTGTTTTGTACTTGTTTTCTTAAAGTGATGGTTCTGTGAAGATGCTCGAATGAAACTTGGTCGCTAAATAATAACGCGTTATTTTCTTTTATTTTTTCCTTTTTCCGCTTTTTTAAGAAGCATTTCTATGTCTTTAAAAGAATGTTGTTTTTTTTCTGTTGATTCATAGTTTTAACACGGATGAAACCTCAAAAACGAGATAAAAATGTCGCTGTCACAATTCAGTAAACTCAAACATCTGTGTTCAATGTACATTTCTTAATAAATTTTCGAATTTTCTTCACAAAATATCAGCACACTAGATACTATAAGTAGAAAAGAAAATGATAATAAATCTAATATCATATAAATATTAGCAAACAAAATTACAGAAGCAGCTATTGTGGTTGTTGTTGTTTTTTTGGGGGGTTGTTGTTGTTGTTGTTGTGGTGGTGGTGGTGTTGTTGTTTTTTGTGGATTTTTTTAGTTGCTGTTATTTCCTTTATTATTTCTTATACATCTGTGATGAATATGATGAAAACTGTTTTGACCGAGAAATATAAACCCGTCAACTCGGATTCACACACGCAACTTCAATGGAATAAACTAGTGCCGAGAAACATTTATCATGTGTTTCACAAATATAAACTCAAGTTATTCTCTGACCTGTTGAAATCTGTGTGACAATATATGTAAAATACATAATGTAAGATCTGCAGCGTAATGTTGACATAATGTATCAAAATATTTCATGATATAAAAAATCTGTTTAAATCTTGCATGATTTTGGTAATTTAACCGGCTGAAATAAACGATTAAATATTATCCCAAATACTTTATATTAACAATTATAAAAAAATATCCGTATTTTTACAAGCCCCTTGTTCATTTGTTTTCCTTTTTCCTGAAAGAAGGATTATTTTAGGGTATGTTTTGATTTGACCAATCTGGAATAAAGAATATACAATACAAAATGTAAACAACACCATTAGCGGGATCCTCTGATCTTATAAAAATCTGTGTAAATCCGTAATACCTTAATGGAATCTTTGGATTTTAAACATAAATGTTTTTAATCATTATTAATTGGATAAAGACGTCTCCCGCATTACGGGGATTATTTATTTCTAGGCTCCGTTCTTTGCTGTATTTATTGTTGTACAATTAATGCCTCTATAGCAGGCAAATTTCCACGGAGATTGTGTTAACTTTACAAATATTTTATTAGTTGAATGAATTAATTGATACGTGATCATTATTATTAAGGGATAAAAATGAAAGATTAAGAAAATATAATTTTAGAAAACACAGTTTTTCGCTTAATTTTAAATTTATAAGTACATTATGACCACAAATGGGCAGCTACAGTATATTAATACATAAATGAGAGAAAAAATAAATATATTTGATTTAAATTTGAAAAAAAAAATATAATGGTCTGATATTTCACCTGTATTTTATAAACAGGAAAATATGCAAGTATTTTATTATTTATGACTAAGTCTTTTTATGAGGCGGAAAGCTGGAACAATTTTTTTTAATTCTTATTACATTTTTTTCTGATTAAATAAACATAAGCACTACCGCAGTGCTAGTATTTTCTGTTTATTATTCACAACATCGATAAAACAACACGCCTCAAATAGCTTGTCAGAGTATTTTAAAAACTGAAACAGATAAATTTATATACCAACATTTATTTATTCCCTCGGTCAATTTAATACTCCGTCTAAAATGATTCTGCTTTTGTTTATTATCTGAACATTTTTATTTCTACAAATGTTAATGTATTTTATAGTTTGTTTACGTAAAAGATTTCCGTTTCCTTGGAGAATTAATTATCTTTAAAAATATATCCATCAGTCGGATCATTTACTGTTCTGTGATTGACAGAGCTTCAAACAAAACAGATTTTACATAAATCCCTTTTTTCTGAATCTGCAGTTATATAAAACGGTAGAAATTCCCTTGAAATTCATTGATAGATCTTTTCAGATAAATACATTTTATTGTTTGAATCTTAGATGCTTAATTGCAATATAGTTTATTTACAACTTCAATTACCGACAACGTGACATCGGGTGCTTTGTAACTTCTGTAAATTATTTTTTGAACCGCGCTGCAATTAAGTCTTGTTGTACAAAAAGATTCTTGTTGATGCGATATTAATCTCAAAAGCGAGACAACATTAAACATATTTTGCAATGTGAAATTGATTGTAACAAATATTTAAATGGGCAATAAAAGTTAGATCCTAAACGCGTTTAAATATTTTACATACATCCCAAATCTAACTCCAACACCCCTCGGGAAATAACTTTTGTTTCTTAAAGTAATAATACAACACTTTCTTCATACTTTGTTGAAGTGTACAATTTATTATAACTCATCAATTTGAAAATGCCAATAAATAAAATGAATTAGTATGTAATTCTAACTTTTGACATATTCTATTATCAAAACAATATCAAATAATAGAAATAATATACAAAATCAGATAACTCTTTATAGAATAAAAGTATTTTTCGCTTTAGGCAGAAACTAAAAATGTTCAACATATTTTTTCCAGTAAAGCACTCGTGGTAGTCTATTCTAGCACGGTTCGCTGACAATGGGCGGAGCTATAACACCAAATTTGCATAGCGTATTTTCCATTGGCCCAGCGCTCTGCCTATCGAGTCCATTTATGGACAAAACATGGATTACTGTTTCATTTTCTTTACACTTTCTATCTAATATCGACAGATTATATGTAATTATTAAGATAGGGCGGATACTTGTCCCATTTAGTTGAATTAAATCGGAAAATTCGGATAGGCTGGATTAAAACCTTGTTTTCTACCATACCGAAAGGATTGCTTTAATTTGTACTTTATTTTCTATATAGTGAACGTGTTTGGTAACATCAATTTGTTACATTCAGTAAAATACAAGTGTATGACTGGATTTTTTTCTTGTATTTTCTAACAAGAGTGCGAAAAGTAAACGAGGAACAATGATGCACCATTTACCTCTTAGTTTTTACTACACACCGGAACAACTTAAGAATTTCTACAATTCTGAGCAGCTTAAATTACTTTATGGCAGTGAGCATCTTAAGGCAGCTTATGGACAAGAACAGTTGAAAGCTTTGTATAATCATGAACAATTAAAGACATTATGTAGCGCGGAGCAGCAGCTGAAAAATTTGTGTAATCAGGAGCAGCTAAAGTCACTACCCGGGAGTCCGGAAAGTATAAAAGCTATGCCAACATCTCCACTACTGGCCGGAAGTCCTCCGTCAACTTCAGGATCATCTTTGTTCTCCATTGATAACATACTCTCACAGAACCGTCCTCTTCTAGCGCATAGACCAACACCAACATATCCGTACCCGTATCCTCCAATGCCGCATCTTGCTCCAGAAATGTTTGGTAAGTATTTTTTTACTTTTATTTCACAATGAAGTTAGTAACATGCTTTTCTTTCTATGCGATTTTAATATTCGGGTTTTTTTTCGCTGTTGTTTTTTTTTCTTCTTTAAGATATTCAAAGGCATCATTTTTAGTTTATAAGTTAATGCTTATTCAAAATTTAAAAAAAAATGAATGGTTTAAACTGAAATATGCAAAAATTGAAGTTATTTACGAATATTGAATCGGTATAATTATAATAAGTAAATAGAAAAGGTGAAAATAAAAAAAAAATTTCGTTCTGATGTCGGTTATACATTTCATGTTCTTTACTACCTTATATAATACCATATAGAATATAATTAATATATAAAATAATAAAACATATTTATTACGAGTGAAAATCGTCATATCAACATGATTTCCCTGATCATTATCAACAAAATTATATAAGAGAGATAATAATGTTACATTTTGTTCAATTATAAATAAATGTTGTTAAATATTGTTATAATTATCAACATTTTATTTTCAAAATGGTCTAAGCAATGTCCATCGCCATCAATAGCGCTCCGGTATATTGATAATATAATCTTTAACTTTAGGAACATGTATTTTAGTACATTTTTGTCGTAAAAAAAGAATACTTATAGGGAATAAGATATTGTCCAGCTATTGTTTTTTAAGAACACATAATGATTTGTTAATATTCTACGGTTTTTTATATTTCCATATTATCAATTGTGAAATTTAATTTTGTCAATATAATTACCAAAATATTATGTTTTGGCTTAAATATTATGTTTTGACTGCATTATTTATTTCATACATTACTGACAAAATTAAAGTGAAATATTAGTTATGTTCAGGACTAAAATCTGTGTTAAACGTCAGATAAATTTTAAGGTAACATCTTGTATTATAATCAGAATAATAATTATATTTCTGTTTCATAGAACGAAAAAAAAAACAACACATATACACAACATTAATTCTTCATTATTTAGTTAAAAAATTGATTGACGCGTTCCAACTTTACGGTAAATATTTTAGTAATAAAAAGATGAATGCGTTTAAGATTAATCTAAGATTAATAATAAACTTCTTATATGTTTATTACTATTCAAAAGAAGGACGAGAGGATGTTGACAATCTTTTAGAATTGCATTATAAACAGTTTGTCGTCTGCAAAATAAACTAGCTATTCATTTATCATCTTAAGCATAATCGGAATCGTACATACAGAATATCATAATTTCTTTTCGCTCAATTCTTTTCGAAAATATCCCCATTCCTAACTGATGTCTTACAAAATCTGATAAAAGATTTTTCAATGATAAATTGTCCATCATATGCTTTTGTAAATATTTTGAAAATATTCTTTCAACATTTCCCGCAAAAAGTTAAGATTAGATGTTTAAGACATGTAAGTAAATGTCACGGCAAATGCTTTGAACATGTGATTTCACGATGATAATTAGACCAAATATGCACGCGAGCCCCTAGCAACTCCCGAAACAAATCGAATTTAGATTAAATCGTCAAAATAGTGACTTTGAAGCATACACGTTGATGTTTCAATTTTCAAGGATATAAAACTGTCCCCTTCAGCACCATGTTTAGATTACATACTTTACATTATTTGATTTGTAAATAACAATGTTAAAAGGGGGGGCTTTTAGAAGTAGTAAATTGATTTTTACTTCGCAGCTATATATTAATTAAAATAACTTATCAAATTTATCTCTCTGAGTATGGGTTGCTAAATATTGTAATTTTATGTCTCATACTGTATTTAAATGTATATCTTTTTACTTTATTTCGAAGATGTAACTTAAACACATATTCTCTCACGTTTTCTTGTTGGTCAGTGGTTAAAATAGATGTTAAAAGAGATGGTATGCTTTCTGTCTTTGATATAAAATACTATCTTAAGATGCGAATTAATTTTAATTGTTAAAGTATTTTGTACTAAAGTAAACTTTTTAAAGGGGGGAGACTGGAAGATCGTGGCAGCCGATAAGCTGGACTCGTTGACAGTTCACAAACTCCGTCCTCGTATTTCATGCCAGTAAATTTTTACAAGTCTATAATAAACTAGCATATATATTACCACAACAAAAGGATTAAAACTCTACATCTTTGAATATCTAAATAAGACTAAATTACTAAAACATTGAAGTAAAATCTAGAGGTAATATATAAAAAGTGACGGACTGGTGTGGGACGAGTTCTATGTAAGAAAATAAACAATTTTATTGTTTTAAAGAAATAAAAAGTAATTGTTTTAGAAGATATAATCTTGTAAATATCAATATATTCTCATCGGCTTGATGGGAAAAAATAATTGTTTGAAATAGTTTCAGTTTTACATCTATAAGTTTATTCTACCATACAGTTCAATGATACTAAGCGAGGAAATATCTGTAATATAATTACATTATCACTGATAATAAATGAACAAAACAAAACGTAAATATTTTAATTATTTATCGTCTGCTCACAACTTTTGAATTCATTAAAGCTGAAATCCTGAAAATGGTTTTAATTATTTAGCATTTACGCGGATAATTTTTCATTTTATGGTGATAAATTTGAAAATTTATTTTGTTTAGATATAATGATAAATTCCCGTTGAATTATTATAAAATTTTAATCAGACGCGCCAGCAAAATAAAGCCATATTTGTTTTAATTTTGTCACCCACATTATTGAATTCAAAGTAATAAAATGATAAGAATTAATTAAATCTGTTAAGATAAAAATGCAATAAAGTATCGCGTCGCGCCTTCTGTACAGAAAGCATTCTTCAATAATGCAATATTCTTTATTACTTAAATTAATCCAATTTGTTTAATATATTAGTTATGAAAACAACATACATGATCTTCAGAAAACGCGTAAATCCTATCAAAATTAACAACAGCATAAACAACATCATCCGCCGGCAGCACTTTGATGCTTTCATAGATTAATGCGATAATCCCCCATATCCAATTAACCTATTCTAACGCCTGAAAAGTAAAGACAGAGACATTTACTTTTATTTCAATATACAAATAGAGTTTTTAATTCAAGTAAGAATTTATTTCCTAAACGAATTGTATTTTGTTGGTTCAGCTTAACATTCTAAAAGTCGGCGGTTTTGTTTGATATACTAAACACGTGTAAAATCCCCCTTGCAAAGGTGTTTTAATCCCTGTTAGAAAACTAAGAAGTGTTTAAGCATTATTTATTCTGAGCCAACTCAAATGAATGAGGACCCGAGAACAGACAAACATGTCCGTCTTTGAATAAATATGTCGTTTATATTTGTCGTTGATAGGTGATGAAATTAAATGAAAATGTGTCTAGCGAAGAACATAAAAGAGTCTTTAAAAATTCTTTATATTTAACTTAAAATAAGATAACATACAAAAAAATATAAAACAAAAAAAAATCGTACTAAAGATATTTACAACTAGCCTATTACTTTGTTAAAAATAAGTTAAACGATAAATCACATCAAATTTATTATAATAATAATCTTGAATTTATCATTAATAAGTTTGTTCTGAAATTGTAAAATGAAAATAAAATGTAGTAAAAATGTGACGGGAACATTACAAAATATTTTTAGATGAAAATAAATGATGGATTTATACCCTTTCTCTTTTCAGCCGCGGCATATCATCCACTTCAAAGCTTTTTGAATCCAATGGATCTAATGCGAGCTGGTCAAAAACGAAAGCGTCGTCACAGGACTATATTCACAGAGGAACAACTGGAAGAATTAGAAAATACCTTCAACAAAACACACTACCCTGACGTGTTACTCCGCGAGGAACTTGCCATGAAAGTTGACCTGAAGGAAGAGAGGGTTGAGGTAAGAAAACATATCATTTACTTTATTTATTTTTTATATTTTACTTAACATATATCTGTGTTAAATTTGTGAGGAGAATGCGAATTTTCATTCAGCTAAAACATATATTTGAAAGTGAATAAGCGGGACGAAAATAAGGCTGTAAATCAGAAGTCATTTCATGATAAAACAACATGTGTGAAACATTTAAACAAATATACAGGACACTTTTTTAAAAGAAATTGGTATTAAATATAATCATACAATCTCAAAAATAATGAACTGTTAATTAAAACAAAGAATGGAAGATAAAGATTTTAATAGCACATAGATAAATCGACATAAGTATCTACGGGGTCTTTTCATTAAAATACAGAAGCAACCAATGCCATATATGTACATTTTAAATTATTTATTTTAATATTCAATGCAAAATAAATAAATGAAAAAAAATAATAATAAAACAAAACAAATAATAATAATAAAAAAAACAACATCTGCAATATAAATCAAATATATATTAAGTTAAAGTCAACACAAAATACATATATTGATCCGGAAGATATTTTCATGATCACTTTACGGGTACTAATTTGAATATAAATGAAATCATATTTTAAATCTAATCTACAGCCAAACGACTGTTGTGTGCTGTGAAGTTTATACTTTGAACACGTTTAATATTGCTTTATTAATTGGCGTTTAAAATGATATTATGTTTTTTCTGTAGGATATTTATCCAGTTACTTTGTGACATTGCTTCTTTACTGAAATCATATTAATTATAATGAAAATTTCACCGCTCAACAATATGTCGTCTGTATCCGAACCCAGCTGTTTACAAACTCCTGTCATTTAATTTCAAGAGATCTATTAGATGATTATCAGATTTTCTATACGGGCAATTACAATTATTCCAAATAAACATAAAATTTTCACTTTTAAATTACCCATATAATATTTTATTGATGATAGTATAAAGCATTTTTCAACTTTTCGTGCTTTTACCGTGAGTCAATATGATGAAAATTGCAGTTAAGTGACGATTTTAACAGCTCTACTGGGGTTAGTCAAGGGTTTATCTTGCCTCTACATCTTTTACCTTAAGAATGATACTTTTGTGGTTTAATGTACAGCTAATCATGTGTATAAACAATCATCGTGGCAGTTTCACGTATTACTTAATATCCTAACAATTTTAAATCCATACGGTGTGAATTAAAAGGATGATACTTTAGTTTTATTGCCCTTTTCAAAGGGTTTACTTATTTATTGAGAGTTTATCTCACACATAATTCGCATTCTGACTCACATAATGACTTTCTGCAAAATTAGCGGTCTGTCACCCGTGATCATTTTTAAAAAGATATTAAAATGAAAATAAAAGAACATGTGTTTGGATTTTCGTTTATCTGCAAGTTTGAAACTTAATAAAACCAATACATATTTATTTATCACTTTAAACGATATGCTATTTTGTTACCTGGAAAAAAATAGTCATTTTCAATTCTGATGCGTTTCAGATAGTATCTATTATCATAAATTAAGATAAAAGCTGTTGCCTTCATCTGTATATCTCATTTACTTTCCATCGTATTCTATCAAATTAGTGGGAATATATTGATCAAAAGTGTCTTACATTTCAGGTCTGGTTTAAAAACAGACGAGCAAAGTGGCGCAAAACAAAACGCGAGGAAGAGGCAGCTAGGCGTTCTGATGATATAAAAAGGAAGACCCAGCAGACGACATCTGAATCGTCTGTTAAAGACTCTTCTGAACGCGTATGCGTTGACGTGTGTGACGACAAAGAATCTGTGTCTGATAATGAACTAGGAGCCGCATCAGAACTTTCTTATTCCTCTAAAGATAACAGAAATGACAGTTTTTGTGAAAGCGATGTTTCATGTCCATCTAGTCCAGTAAATATTACCTATAACACCGTTTCCGGTGATGAACAAGAACTTCCGCATGATCGGTCAAGGGAGGGTTCGTCATGATACCTCAGTGAAATCTGTTGATATTTTATTTATTTGGCCATAAGATTATTAAGCAGTAGGGTTTCTTGGCATTCAATGATTAAATGTGTCGGTTGGAGCGTCAGGCGGAAGTTGTTCAAAGTGCTGTGTCAGACGTAGACTTCATGCAAGACTCCATAATAAGGCGAAGTCGAGGTGGAAACCCCGTTTCTTTAATAACATTCAGTCGGCGGTTTGTGATATGTATATAAGAGTATATAATATAGAATTTGTGGGTTGCGAATGTGTAATGTTTTCTTTATATTATTGTTTCATTGAGAGGTCTGACTAACCGTGGATAATTGCATAATACTCATTAAAATAAATTCAAGAAACAATGTTTGTGTCTTATATATATCATGTATTATTTGCATTAACATTTTGTTGTTGAAAACAATGTAAACCATAAAAATTCTATTTCCCCGGTCCACCTCTCCCCCAAAGAATCGACTATATAAATGCAGTGTTTCTACAAGGCGTTATTAGTAGTCCTGAGATTCTAGTACTATGAACCCATGTTTCCAGTCATAATCCCTAAAAAATGCCTATTCGTTTATAATATACTATATTTTGACTTATAACACGTTGTACGTGTAGCAGGAGTTCACGTTGCGAACTTCCTTGTAGTAGCACGTTATTTTACCGACAGTGCCCCGATTGTGGAAAAAGAGATAATACAATCAAAGAGCGTATGGCTCGTATCTTTAAAACCATATATTAGTTATTAACTTATTACTGTATTCTACATGAAGATTTGATCATTTTATACATCATTTGACTTGTATTGAAATGGATTGATTCGTGTTAGCAGAATAATGAATATTGAAGTTTACCTGCTTAAAGTCTCATCCCTTGTAACAGATGGTAATTCTGTTATAAATAATAATGAATATGTCACAGCTTCATGCTTTTTTGCTCGTTCAATTATTGATGAAAAATAAATATAAAGTACATACCTCATTCATAACTAGATACTTCATCAAGGATTAATAGCTTATATGAGCATTAATGGTGTCCGCAGAGACATTCTAGTATTTATAACCATTGGCATGAAATTTCAGTAAATATTCGATTGTGTATGTGTGTATATGTTCACCCAACAAAACCAATATAGATCCAACAAACCGATTTTGCACATAACGGACTTTTCTAAATACTTTCAAAAGTCAGCTAGTACATTAAATTAGCAGTATCGTACATAGTGCTGTGTTGTGTCCGAGTAAATCTTAACACTAGAAGTATCGTGCATTGTGTTGTGTTGTGTCCGAGTAAATCTTAATACTAGAAGTATCGTGCATGGTGCTGTGTTGTGTCCGAGTAAATCTTAACACTAGAAGTATCGTGCATTGTGTTGTGTTGTGTCCGAGTAAATCTTAATACTAGAAGTATCGTGCATGGTGCTGTGTTGTGTCCGAGAGTAAATCTTAACACTAGATATATCGTACATAGTGCTGTGTTGTGTCCGAGTAAATCTTAACACTAGATATATATCGTACATAGTGCTGTGTTGTGTCCGAGTAAATCTTAACACTAGAAGTATCGTGCATGGTGTTGTGTTATGTCTGTGTAAAATCTGAACACTAGCAGTATCGTGTGAGGGTGCTGTGTTGTGTCCGAGTAAATCTTAACACTAGAAGTATCGTGCATGGTGCTTTGTTGTGTCCGAGAGTAAATCTGAACACTAGAAGTATCGTGCATGGTGTTGTGTTATGTCTGTGTAAATCTGAACACTAGCAGTATCGTGCAGGGTGCTGTGTTGTGTCCGAGTAAATCTTAACACTAGAAGTATCGTGCATGGTGCTGTGTTGTGTCTGTGTAAATCTGAACACTAGCAGTATGGTGTTGCTGGGTTGTGTCCGAAAAAATCTGAACGCACACAGTTATGGTGTTGCTGGGTTGTGTCCGCGAAAATCTGAACGCACACAGTATGGTGTTTGCTGGGTTGTGTTCCGAGAAAAAATCTGAACACACACAGTATGGTGTTGCTGGGTTGTGTCCGAGAAAATTTGAACACACCGCAGTATGGTGTTGCTGGGTTGTGTCCGAGTAAATCTGAACACACACAGTATGGTGTTGCTGCGTTGTGTCCGAGTTAAATCTGAACACACACAGTATGGTGTTGCTGTGTTGTGTCCGAGTAAATCTGAACACACGCAGTATGGTGTTGCTGGGTTGTGTCAGCGAAAAAATCTGAACGCACACAGTATGGTGTTGCTGGGTTGTGTCCGCGGAAAATCTGAACACACACAGTATGGAGTTGCTGGGTTGTGTCCGCGAAAATCTGAACACACGCAGTATGGTGTTGCTGGGTTGTGTCCGCGAAAATCTGAACGCACACAGTATGGTGTTGCTGGGTTGTGTTCGAGAAAATCTGAACACACACAGTATGGTGTTGCTGGGTTGTGTTCGAGAAAATCTGAACACACGCAATTTGGTGTTGCTGGGTTGTGTCCGAGTAAAGTAAATCTGAACACTAGCAATATCGTGTGACTGTGTTGTGTCCGAATAAATCTGAACACTAGCAGTATCGTGTGATTGTGTTGTGTCCGAATAAATCTGAACACTAGCAGTATTGGGTCGCTGTGTTATGTCCTAGTAAATCTGAATACAGGCTGTATGGTGTTGCTGTGTTGTAACCGAATAAATCTAAACACTAGCAGTATCGTGCCTGGTGCTGTGCTGTGGACGAGTAAATCTGAACACATGCAGTATGGTGTTGCTGGGTTGTGTCCGCGAAAATCTGAACACACACAGTATGGTGTTGCTGGGTTGTGTCCGCGAAAATCTGAACACACGCAGTATGGTGTTGCTGGGTTGTGTCCGCGAAAATCTGAACACATGCAATATGGTGTAGCTGTGTTGTGTCCGAGTAAATTTGAACACATGCAATATGGTGTAGCTGTGTTGTGTCCGAGTAAATTTGAACACATGCAATATGGTGTTGCTGTGTTGTGTTGTGTCCGAATAAATCAGAACACACGCAGTATGGTTAGATATCAACAACTTCTTGGATATTAAATGCATTTATATTAAAATACAAATAAACCAAAGTCATTATTTCTACACAAATATTTATTCCGATTTTATTTAGTCATATGTATAGCTTCAATAATATGCAGTCAGAATAATGTAAAGAATAATATAAAGTATAATGACTTTATCCTAATTAAACGTAAACTTTGATCGCTCTGTTCGTATGGTGTATGCTTCATTTCATTCAATAAAAAAAGAAGAAATTATTTCTAAAATAAAAGATCATTGGCTAGCAGAGACAAACGTATAAAAAATATAGACAAATCTACTGAATTTGGAAGAAAATTACAAGTGAATAATATTTTTAAGAAAATTAGTTTAGATTAGAGATACATGTAAGACTAGTGCTATATATGGAATGTTTGTGAAACAAAAAAACTGTAGTCTACAAAACACATGACGTGAAATGTGCGTTAAAATTAGGCAGTTAAATTATATCTTTTAGTGATATCGAACTGAGCCTTTTAATAGAAAATATGCTATATATGCTTAATTATCTAAAAATTGACAAAGAAAATCACGGTTTTTCTTTTGAAATTTAAAACCAGTTGTTGAATAGTGAATAGGCGGAATGCTGTCTTTACTGTGGCCACACGAAGCAAAAATTCAAGTACAAAATTCTTACTGAACCAAATATGTAGCCTCTTTATCTTTTTATTGTGCGGTATATTCTAATGTTTATTACAACATAAAATATATCTGAAACTAAGTTAAGTTTGTAGTTCTTTATTGCCCAGACAGATATAAGTAAATACGATCAAAAAGGTCTCATAAAGTAGCATTTACAGTAGATAATGCTATTCTCAAAAACAATATTCGGAAAACAGCAGATGTTTTTAATCGTTCATTTTTATCTATAATCATGCATATATTACATCACTATATGAGGAAGGAGAAAATGTGTTTTATTAGGTTATGAATATACAAACTTTAATATGATATTTCAACGTAACATATGCATATCGCACATATCAAATTTTGTAACCATTCAAGACTATTTTTCATCTTATTAATTGTATAATTGTCATTTAGCCATGTTTAAAAAGTAACCAAAATTACTTTTTTATAATGCATTAGTCATAATCTAGGTTCTAATATATGCATGCTTCATACATAGCATGAAAAAGTAGAAAAGGCATGACATAAAACAAGATAAACTTCTTAAGAAAAGTTTTTAAAAATATACAGAAAGTAAAACATATTATATGTACCCATCTTGATATAAAGAATACTGGATATTGGCTACATATTAGATCTTCAAAACATGAATGGAGGGTCGGTGAGCGCCGGCCTAGTGATTATTATTATTGTTGTTGTTGTTGTTGTTGTTAGCCAGTAATTTTACCCAGGCGACCAGCGCAAGATCACCCTGCACATCCGTTCCGTCTGACGCCTTTTTGTGCCCCATTGTATTAATGGTTTTGTCAAGATTGGAAACATGAAAACGTTCATTTAAGATATTTTATGTGGTAAATATACTAAACATTTAACTAAACATATTCGATTTAAAGTATACGCGATCACTGTGTCTTGATATACCTTGATATCAGTTTTATAATTAAATAACCCCTACGATAAAGATATAGATGATAGCATTATGTCGGGATGTTTTGTGGTTTTGAACTTTATCCTCGGGATCACGGTACACTGTAAATGAGGAGAACACCGGACGCGTTCACACTTGTTCAATTTTGGAACATTGCGCGTTTATATTTTGAATGCCTGTGTTCAGAAAAGGAGTTCTATTTACGAGTTGAACACTTATCATTTGAACGTCAGTGTTCAATGGTAGTCCTTCTGACTAGACAACATGAAAGAATTTGAGTTTTTGACAACTTGGGTAAGTTTTTTGGTCAATATATTGTCAGTTGGGGTTACATTTACGCAATTTAACAAGTAATGGTGCTTAAATAATTAAAACATTTTAAAGTGGAACATGATATGAACAGTAGCGTTCATCGAATGTTCTAATTGAGAACGTTTCTAAAAATAGATTTGTGACAATTTCTGACGTCATTCAAGTACCACAACAACAACAACAACAAGTAAGCGTTGGCGAAACGCAAGCTGAACACTTTACACTAACAATGACTAAAATTGAAGTGAAAACGGTATTAACTTTTACTTCTTTAGCATTCTTTTTTATCCATAATTAGATCTATTTTATTTTTCTGAAAAGAACTAAGTCGTCATATTGTTGTAGTTATTAACGTGTCTCCTTACGTGTAAAGAAGAAGATCTATGTGAAATTGTAGATTTTTTCTGAGTAGTCGGGGTTAGACCTATTTAAATGCAAAGATTAATGAATTATTTAGAAATTATGTATAGATCTTTGTATGATATATTGTGTTGCTTTATATTTTAATAGGATAGCGAGTAAGTAGTGTTGTTTCAAGCAGTGATGAAAGATTTGAACTATATAGACTGTAGATCTACAGAAACTGTTCCAGACTTGCATACAGATCTTTGAGGTTTGTTTCCTTAAACAATATTAGGTTGATAATATTTAAATTCTAACATTTCCAAATGAGCTTTTATTGTTAATCAAATCATTTTATATTCTATAACTGTTACAAAGATGGCCTGACATTGTGTCTCAAATAAATTGTGTCGTACAAGAGTCGTAGCTACGGATTCAAATCGACTTTGTGAGAATGTGCATGGCCCTGGTGATGTCAGAATTGTATTAAGATAATCTGACTTGAAGGTGGTGTCTGATAAATCGTTAGATAATGCTTAAACATAATATATATATAATATACATGTATGTCAACCACTTACTAGTCTTAGGCTGTTATTCTCTATATCAGAAGTTTGAACTGTAAAGAATGATTTATCTCATAGGAAGCAACTATAAGCCTTTAAATCACCAGCATGTTAATAAATTCCATTAATGTTTTCCAGGATAGTGAAGAATATGATTGTCCTGCTAAATTGGAGACAAATGAAAACACCCCGCACAAACTGATGACATACACTACAGAGGGGAGCAACTGTCCTTTGGTGTTTCGACATAGACTATTGATTATTGTTTAGATACTCTCGCAGCAGTTTGTATTTGCGAAGAAATTTAAGAAATTATTCTTAATTCATGTGTTATGTTAAGAAAACTGCATTCATGCACACAAGAATATAACACATAAAAATACAACATGTAATAACAATAAGTGAAACAATGCTAGGATATTGAGAGACAGGTTATGTTGCTGTGTGATTACTCGTATTTTTGTGGTCTGAAATGAAACGCAAAATTCATGTACAAACAAATAACTGAAAGAACTTTGTAAAACAGTATTCAATTTTTTACATTTTGATCATAATTGTTAATCTTAAAATCTCTTCATTTGCTTATCAGGCATAGAGTTAGAAAATAATAAGAAATTTTGGATAACATTATTCATTTTGTTATTGTGAATAACTAAAGAATAATTAAAAAATCTCAATATGATTCTTTGTTTTATGACTTATATCTGTTGTTTTATCAGGTGTTCAAATGTTAACATAAGTGTTCATCAGTGTTCTAACTTTTAACATACCTAATTTTGAACATGTTCTATGCGTTCAATATCTGTTGCATCGTAATTGAACGCGTCTGGCATTTAAAAGTAGAACACCTGAGTGTTCATAACATGTTCTATAATGGAATGGTTTGGTGTTAAGATTTTAACGTCAACGTTAAAATTTGAACCCTAGATGTTCATAAGGCGTTAGTATATGAACGGTTGGAGACAAAAGTTGAACACTAGTATTAAGAAATGGAACGCGTCTTGGCGTTCAATATCTGTTGCAAATAGGCGTTCAAGATGTGTTCTATTCTTGAACATTTACATTTACAGTGTAGTAAGCCACTTTGAATTCACCAGAGCATTGTTCAGCCACCTACCTCATCTGTCCTGGGCAGACTGTCATGATCAAGTAGTTTACCAGTACTAATTCATTCACTTTTCAAGTAATTGGTATTATTTCTGTACATGCCAGAGCAGAGGTACAGTGCTAATGACTGTAGAAAGGATTTCAGGATCAATCACAACGAAAGCCATTAGAACCTTCCTGTTGGGAATCTAACTCGAGTCTCCCGATTCACATTCCAACGCCACCAACTAAGCTAACCCGCCCGATAGATACTCGGGAAGTTTGTATTAGGATCATAGGAAATAATCTTAGCTCGAAGTATTTCAATGTTTGTCATAAAGCAAAAACTATCATTATCAACACGCTTTCGTTGCAGCAATGGTCGAGTGGTTAACGCGTCGGCCAAGTAGTATCCGGATCTCTAGCTGCACGAGTTCAAACCGCGTCATGGACAAGTCGTTGCTTTCTTGAGCAAGACACTTTACACTCGTTGGTTCAAGGTATTGGTTGGTTCAAAGAACGGATTCGAGAGTGTGGCTTTAAGTTTATAGCTTCCTACACAATCGAATTTAAATAAATTCTGTATAAAATTATAAACTATAAACTATAAACCCCCAACCCCGCGCGCTGAAAGTGAAACATATACATGTATAGTGTTGTCTCACTATTTTATAATGTTATTTCCATAACGAATTTTCGTTATGGGCTCTAACGTACATGTATGTATACACACTTATCAAGGATGACGATTCAAAAGCTCATTTTGATTTGCATTAGACACTTTACGTATGTTAATTAGTCGGTATATTCATTTGCGAATTCTATCATTTTCTACATTTGATCGATTTATACTATTTGTTTCACTTTCGCCATTGTGGCCTGTTTTATGTTTTAATCTATCACTACATATTATAATATTCGTTTTATTGTGACAGAAGTTGGTGAAGTACAAGAGAGTCGTTGGAGAGTCAGGCACAATATCAGTGAATTATTTATTTGCGAATTATCACCTACTCGATAATAACAAGTTTCAAATTTTTAAATCTGATAATCCATAAGACAACCTGGCATTGAGGACAACATATTGTTTTTACAAAATAACAATATGGCGACTAATGAAATGTGAACCAGTTTCGAAGACAGCAGCGTATCAAGAATGACAGCTGACTTAGAGTTCAGTAATCAGTCGCGTTCTTAACGAGAAATTTTAAGCTAATACGACTTTCTGTTTTGTTCTTGAGGGGAAGGAGAAACTAGCCCTTTTTGTAGTAGTAATTTGCAATTTTACGTCTACAAATTAGATACATAAACAAATAAGAAACCCTTTTTACGTATTTTTGTAGATATAATATTTAAGAACGCACGTGTAAATAGTGTTGTCATAGTACGATGGGTAATTAATATCATATCATAATATGATATTCAAGGAAATCTGCATTAAATAGTACAATATTGCCTTTATATGATAGGTTGTCTAAGATGCCTATATATTCAAGGATCCTGTATTAATAATTTATTAGCGTCGCCTTAATATGATAGGTCATTTAAATGATATTCCACGATGCATGTATTACATAGTGTTGCCTTGATATAACAGGGCATATTGGGTTATAATACTGCACGGTGCCTGTATTACATAGTGTTACCTTTTATATAACAGGCCATATTTGTAATATTCCAGGATGCCGGCATTACATAGTTTTACATTTATATAACAGGGCAAATATGTAATATTCCAGGATGACTGTATTATATAGTTTTACATTTATATAACAGGGCAAATATGTAATATTCCAGGATAACTGTATTATATAGTTTTACATTTATATAACAGGGCAAATATGTAATATTCCAGGATGACTGTATTATATAGTTTTACATTTATATAACAGGGCAAATATGTAATATTCCAGGATGACTGTATTATATAGTTTTACATTTATATAACAGGGCAAATATGTAATATTCCAGGATGACTGTATTATATAGTTTTACATTTATACAACAGGACATATATGTTATATTCCACAATTACTGAATTACATAGTTTTACATTTATAAAACAGGCCATATATTGAATATTCCAGGATGCCTGCATTAGATAGTTTTACATTTATATAACAGGGCATATTTAATATTCCAGGATGCCTTTAATACAGAGTTTTACATTTATATAACAAGACATACATAATATTCTAAAATGCCTGTATTACATAATTATAGTGTTTTATATAACAGGGCATATATATAATATTCCAGGATTCCTGCATTACATAGTGTTTCCTTTAATATAACAGGCCATATATATAATATGCAAGGATTCCTGCATTACATAGTGTTTCCTTTAATATAACAGGCCATATATATAATATTCCAGGATTCCTGCATTACATAGTGTTTCCTTTAATATAACAGGCCATATATATAATATTCCAGGATTCCTGCATTACATAGTGTTTTCTTTAATATAATAGGCCATATATATAATATTCCAGGATTCCTGCATTACATAGTGTTTCCTTTAATATAACAGGCCATATATATAATATTCCAGGATTCCTGCATTACATAGTGTTTTCTTTAATATAATAGGCCATATATATAATATTCCAGGATTCCTGCATTACATAGTGTTTCCTTTAATATAACAGGCCATATATATAATATTCCACGATTCCTGCATTACATAGTGTTTTCTTTAATATAACAGGCCATATATATAATATTCCAGGATTCCTGCATTACATAGTGTTTCCTTTAATATAGCAGGCCATATATATAATATTCCAGGATTCCTACATTACATAGTGTTTCCTTTAATATAACAGGCCATATATATAATATTCCAGGATTCCTGCATTACATAGTGTTTCCTTTAATATAACAGGGCATATACATGTATGATATTCCAGGATTCCTGCAATTAATAGTGTTGCCTTTTATATAACAGACCATATCATATATAATATTCCAAGATGCCTGCATTAAATAGTTTTGCCTTGTCAGCATTTCCCTTATCATACAGTAGTGTTTCTTTAAATCAAACTTGTAAATGTTTTAACATTGTTATAAAACTTTTTATTCTTGTGAAGCTCATTTCATGATAGAGCTCATTTCATGATAGGAATACTAAATTATAAATGGCAGATGTTTATAATACTTTCATATGTACATGTATTTATCTTTGAACATTAGGTTTTATTAAATAATTAGATGATTAAATGTAGAACAGGGATATTATATTTTAATACTTAATATAAACTGAAATATAATTAGTTGATATTAATATATGATAGAGCTTTTACACATGCTTTAATATCAAATTTCAGAATAAATTTACTTTATCAGTTAAACATTAGCATACAATAAAGAAGAGATGCAAAGGTAGAAATGTGGGATATGTACGATCAACCTGCTGGCGGCTGCAGGATCTCGCCATCCGACCAGTGCAGACCAAGATCAGCTGGCACAACCGTGCCGTGTCGCCTGATCATGTTAACCAGTCAGTAAATATTTTGAAATGGTTCCCTAAAAATAAGAAATGGTCTTGTCCAGATTGAAAGATGGACGAGTTCATTTCGGATATTTAGCGATATTTGGTTGATAAGTGATTTACTTATCTTATACAGCGAATGTGATCAATATTACTTCGAAGTTTTATTCTTAATTCATGTATATAACAAATGTCAAATCAATCAATTAGATATACTTTAAAAATAATTAAGAAGTGAATAACTTGCACTATCATTCTGTTGAGACTCGCTTTGCAGGCATACAACACTATCAATAGCTGCTACATCTACATGTATATATATTTTCAGTTTTTAAGTTAACGTTATGAAAAAGTAATGGAATCAATTAAATATAATTTATATTTATATCACTTTTATTTTATGTGCTAATAGATTCTAGATAAGGTACCGATGCATTTTCTCGTTCAGTTGTTTTTAGTACAAGACAATGTACACGTCATTTTAGGCAATCGAAGCATATTTCATAATTCATGCTTGATATGGTTGTAAACTTTTCTCTTGGGATACTATTGTAATAATTATTATGAGCCGCGTCATGACAAAACCAACATAATGCGTTTACGACCAGCATGGATCCTGACCAGCCTGCGCATACGCGCAGTCTGATCAGGATCCATGCTGTTCGCTATCAGTTTCTCCACTTGTTATAGGGTTTGTAAGCGAACGGCATGGATCCTGATCAGACTGAGCGGATGCAGATAAATGTTGTTGTTGTTGTTGGTGGTGGTGGTGGTGGTGGTGGTGGTAGTGTGTTGTTGTTGTTGTTGTTGTTGTTGTTGCTGCTGCTGCTGCTACAAGTACCACAACCGGCTATTTTTTATAAAAAAATAAACATTCGCTATATGCCTTGGTAATACAATATGAGCATAGTTGAATATTTACTTCAGCAGAATTAGTTTGTTCAATACTGCAATATTGTTAATCAAGTTAAAAAACTAGTTTATATATAAAGGTAATAGATTGTGCTATGAATATGTTGTTACAGTAGTTTATTGAAACAATACAAACATATGTTGGTCGTAATGGACAAAGTGGTAAGAAGCTATGTACTCGCAGGTCTTTAAAGTTTGATATTAATACTGAGCCTCAACTTTGTAAATGGTCTGCCATGTTCATATAAGTCCGCTTATGCTAAGTTTATATGTGGTGTAGCACCAGCACGTTTAGAGACCGGAAGTTATCAGAGATTATGTGTAGGATCTGTCCAATGTGTCAGAGTGCAGTAGAAAGTGAGATGCATGTTTTTACTGCATTGTAATGCATTTTAAGCAAGAAGAGAGATTCTTTCCAACAGAGCTAGTGATGTAGATAATGATTGTGTGAATATGACAAATGATAATAAATTGAGGTATTTATTGTCAAAATAATTCATTGTCATTTTAAACTGCCTAACCCCGTATTATCATTTTAAGTGAGCGTCGGAGATATTTGTATGTGTAAATTATGTAA